TAAAAAACCATAAAAGAATGTGATAATGGGGGTCGCAAACCTTGGGGCGTCAGGTACAAGTTTAAAATTTTTTAATCTCCCCCAAGGGGATAGAGAGGCTTATTCCTATGCATGGGATTTTACCATCGGGAGTGGTCTTACGAGCTAGACGGGTGGTTGAGGGGGGGGGGGTATGTGGAATATGGGGCGGGGAGGATTCCTGCATTCCATGTAGTGAAATTTTTTGTGAGGGGGTTGGGAGCGTCAGGGTTTGTTGAGCAGGGTGTTGCTTAAGATAAGTGGGTGGCCCGGTTGCCTGGTGGCTAAAGCTCCCGCTTCACACACGGAGGGCCCGGGTTCGATTCCCGGCGGGTGGAAACATTCGACACGTTTCCTTACACCTGTTGTCCTGTTCACCTAGCAGCAAATAGGTACCTGGGTGTTAGTCGACTGGTGTGGGTCGCATCCTGGGGGACAAGATTAAGGACCCCAATGGAAATAAGTTAGACAGTCCTCGATGACGCACTGACTTTCTTGGGTTATCCTGGGTGGCTAACCCTCCGGGGTTAAAAATCCGAACGAAATCTTATCTTATCTTATCTCATTACTAAGTAGGAACAGAAGTAGAACAAAGGATTCAGGTGACCGGGTGGCAGATTCCAGGATAATGAGAGTGGAAAAGAATGTGATAATGGGGGGTCTGCATAACCTCAGGGCTGTCAGGTACAAGTTTAATATGTTTAATCATCCCCCAAGGAGATAGAGAGACTTATTTCTGTGTATTACTAAGTATAAGAAGGTAGATAATGATCACTTCTGACTCCCCAAACTCTATCACTCTGATAGATGGGAGAGGCAGTACAAAGGATTCAGGTGACTGGGTACAAGCTTACAATCTCCGAGGGAGTTCCCCCCCCCCCTTTCCCGGTCACTGACGCAAGTGCTACTTCTTCCCAACACCGACGGGTTTCAAAGAATGCGGTAATGGAAGACAGCTTAGCCTCGAGCTGTCAGAGGACTTAATAACTGGGTGGGCTCATCACGCATCCCCCAAGGGATAGAGAAGTTTATTTCCGTGATGGGAGGCTAGTACAAAGGATTCAGGTGCCCGGGTACGACTTAATAATTGGGTGGGGGCTCTAGGGAGTGTTCAGCAGCCTGCTTCTTTCGGGGTCAAACGTGTGATTATCTGCCTGCGCTCGCTCTCCCGGGACATCGGGGGCATCTGGTGAAAAAAGGATAATAACCTAATTTTTCAAGGGTGAAAACAAAAAGTCTCACTTAGCAAATATAATTTTTTAGTTAACATTACATTGTTTTATTCCTCCCTCTCCCTCAGAACAGCTAGCTTCTAAGAGCATGAAACTACGAGCAGTGGCAGAAGATCTACCTCTCTCGCGTCGATGCTTGACCCTGGGAAAAAATCTCTTACGGTTTTTTCTCTTCCTCCCCGCCAAAGATTGCAACTGTCTCTCATCTCTAGTTCCTCTTCTTCTGTACTCCCTTCTTCAGTACTGCTATTAGCTTCCTCGTCTTCCTCCACTTTGTCATCTGTTTTATCTTTAAATAATTTAAACTTTGTTTCTCCGGCATCTGGATGACCATAGATACAGAGTGATAGGCATCTAAGTAAAAGCGCTTATCAAATGAGCTAAGAGACCTTGTTTCCTAGTGGTGATAGTGGTCATCTGACCTTTTAAATTTCTAATTTTGACTATATTGGAAGGTATGTTTAGAACCGTCTTCCAGCACACTTCTAAAGTTATTATGAGTTAATAATTGTTGTTCAGACTGAGGAACTCCTTTCGCAGCGATAGTGTGTTGTTATTATCTGCTAGCAGGATGCTATACATTTTGGGTTTAATGCAGACTATTTCTGAAATAAGGCGGTCCCCCACCTCACTTTTAAGTAAGCCTAGAGATCCCTTCCTTGAGTCATTGTAGAGAGGATGATCTGTGGGAAAATTAGATGTGTCTATCCATTTCCTCAATGGTTCCTTACCGATTTCATCAGTAAGGTTTTTTGAGATGGCCCTCTGATAATACAGGCATGACACTTCGGGTATCTGAATAGATTATTTTATTTTGTCTTGGTATTATTCTTAAGAAGCATATACCAAAAATGGTACAGCTTAAATTTGCATGTTCTAGATATCTGGTAGCCTATTAATTAGGGTAACGTGAGTTTTATGGCTGCGTCCCCGTCGTAATCATACTTTTGTTTTCTGAAAGCTTTATAGGCTTTCCTTAAATATGGCTTTACCTCACGCTCGCAAAATGCCTCCTCTGATGTTATGACTTCGTTTTGTTGGCTTTTTTGATGGATTAAACAATTCGTGGCCGAATACAGTATTGGCAACAGTTTATCCAGGTAGAGATGTTTCGATTAATTCCTGACGTAAAATGGCCCGATATTTTTTTCCCCGCTCAGTCGATAAAGATAATATGAGGATTACATGCAGATTATCAACCGATTGGATTTTAAAAATTTCTTCGTGTTGTTGAGCCAATAACTCTGTGAAATATCCCCTGTGCTATAGTCAGTCATGGAAGATTTCAGGCTGATGAGGATGCATTAAATACTTTAGCCCAAACTGCCGACGCATGTCCTCGAGAAGACTCAGAAGAATGCACTTGTTTGATTTGACCTTTCTTGTGAGAGGAGTAGGATTGGGTTGTAATGATTCTACTAGGGGCTGGTAATACCTCTATATATTTTAAAGAAATTGTTAAAGTCATATAGACGTAGAGTTCTATCATAAGCGTCAAATAGCTCGTTTCCGCTTATTCAGCTTAGTGTCTCGAGAAGGTACTGTATAATATAAATATTTTTTTTTTTTAGTAATTCAGAAAGACGAATTATAAACGCGGTCCCTCTGTCCGTGTGTAATCTCGAAATTCCACGGAAAGGGGTGGCTTTCATAAATATTTCGGTAATGCTGGACAAGACGCTTTTGTGAGTTTTTTTTTGCGCTAAGTCCTACCTGCCTTCATAACCTTGAAAAAGCATCAATGCAAACAAAATATATTAATGCCGCCATTGTGGAAGTAATCAATCATGCCGCCAATTCGCAGTGAGTATAATGCGAGGGGCTACGTCTAATATTTTCCGTCTGGGAAATCGCCAGAGGCGCATTTAAGCTAATATAGCCCTCGAGAAGAGAGATAATCTAACTACGTCTTATAAATAATAGAGGCGTTTATTTCTCCCTTAGCTGCTCTAAAAAGGTTTTAACATGGCCCAGTAAAGCCACCGGCTATGAGACGTCTCTATATACTTTTCTAGAATTTTCTTTTATGTAATTTAAGGCCA